TAAAAAAAAATATATAAATAAATAATAGACTAAACTTTGGATTTGGAAACTTAACTGAAAAAAAAATCAAATTATACTCCTAAGTTGGTGGATTTTCCCAAGATATTTCATCAAGGAGCAAGTTAGGTTAGGTTAGGTTTAAGAAGCACTCGATTTCCACTGACTACTACTACTACTACCGTGTTAACTGTCGTGGGTACAACTGACCGCCTCTCGCCTTGCAACATAATGGGGTTGTTTAGGTCTGCATCATCCCTGTACTGAAGAGATAAAATTTCAATGCTAATCCCCGTAAATGATGTGCTTCTTGAGGGCTGGTATTGAAGCTGGGCTAAGCGGGGGTCTTGGGGATGTTAGGTGGGTGGGGTCTTGGGGGATGTTAGGTAGGTGGGGTCTTGGGGATGTTAGGTGGGTGGGGTATTGGGGAGGGATGTTAGGTAGGTGGGGTCTTAGGGATGTTAGGTGGGTGGGGTCGTGGGGATGTTAGGTGGGTGGGGTCTTGAGGATGTTAGGTGGGTGGGGTCTTGGGGATGTTAGGTGGGTGGGGTCTTGGGATGTTAGGTGGGTGGGGTCTTGAGGATGTTAGGTGGGTGGGTCTTGGGACTAGTTTTTTTACTGTTTGTTTCTTAGGATTAGAGGAGTTAAATATACGTCTGGTTGACTACACACACACACACACACACACACACACACACACACACACACACACACACACGTACCCAATTTACAGTAAGTGTTTTTTTTTATTTTTTTCCTTTCTTTAATTGCATCTCTTAAGTTTCCATAAAGACTTCGTTAGTGAGTTTATTACCGCTTGGCCTGACTTAAAGTACAGGTTTTTTCCTTGTTTGCTCACACCATTCTCGGGTGGGTGAGTGCCTCGTCTCCTGATCTTCACTACTGATACAAGATTTAATTGTTCACTGACATCTCTTGAGTGTGAGTTGTCTTCTCCTTGACTACGTTGGCAGGTGTGAGAGATATTGCAGGTGTTGGAAGAAGAGATGTAGAGATGTAACGTGTTGGAAGAGATGTGTAGGAGACCTTGTGTTGGAAGAGACGTGTGGAGACTTTATACGTGTTGGAATAGACGTGTGGAGACTTTATACGTGTTGGAAGAGATGTGTGGAGACTTTATACGTGTTGGAAGAGACGTGTGGAGACTTTATACGTGTTGGAAGAGACGTGTGGAGACTTTATACGTGTTGGAAGAGACGTGTGGAGACTTTATACGTGTTGGAAGAGACGTGTGGAGACCTTATACGTGTTGGAAGAGCCGCTGGAATATATTTTTGGGTCAATATTTACTTTATGCTATGTGTCGTTTACCAGAGACGATGAAAGTACTGTTGGTCGTTTCATCTCTGTATAATCTTTCAGGGGTTGAGAATTCTTATGTTGGGAGTCGAATCCTTTACCTTGTGATAATCCTTTGTGGTGGGAGTCCTTGGTGTTGAGAATCCTTTTTGGTGTAAATCTTTGAAGTGGTGAGGATCCTTGAGATGGTGGGAATCCTTGAGATGGTGAGAATCCTTGAGATGGTGAGAATCCTTGAGATGGTGAGAATCCTTGAGGTGGTGATAATCCTTAAAGTGGTGAGAAGTCTTGAGGTGGTGAGAATCCTTGAGGTGGTGAGAATCCTTGAAGTGGTAAGAATCCTTGAAGTGGTGAGAATCCTTGAGATGGTGAGAATCCTTGAGATGGTGAGAATCCTTGAGATGGTGGGAATCCTTGAGATGGTGAGAATCCTTGAGATGGTGAGAATCCTTGAGGTGGTGATAATCCTTGAAGTGGTGAGAATCCTTGAGGTGGTGAGAATCCTTGAGGTGGTGAGAATCCTTGAAGTGGTAAGAATCCTTGAAGTGGTGAGAATCCTTGAGGTGGTGAGAATCCTTGAGGTGGTGAGAATCCTTGAAGTGGTGAGAATCCTTGAGATGGTGAGAATCCTTGAGGTGGTGAGAATCCTTGAAGTGGTGAGAATCCTTGAGATGGTGAGAGTCCTTGAGGTGGTGAGAATCCTTGAAGTGGTGAGAATCCTTGAGATGGTGAGAATCCTTGAGATGGTGAGAATCCTTGAGGTGGTGAGAATCCTTGAGATGGTGAGAATCCTTGAGGTGGTGAGAATCCTTGAAGTGGTAGAATCCTTGAGGTGGTGAGAATCCTTGAGATGGTGAGAATCCTTGAGGTGGTGAGAATCCCTTGAGGTGGTGAGAATCCTTGAGATGGTGAGAATCCTTGAGGTGGTGAGAATCCTTGAGGTGGTGAGAATCCTTGAGGTGGTGAGAATCCTTGAAGTGGTGAGAATCCTTGAGGTGGTGAGAATCCTTGAAGTGGTGAGAATCCTTGAGATGGTGAGAATCCTTGAGGTGGTGAGAATCCTTGAGATGGTGAGAATCCTTGAGGTGGTGAGAATCCTTGAGGTGGTGAGAATCCTTTAGTGGTGAATCCTTGAGATGTGAGAGTCCTTGAGATGGTGAGATTCCTGAGATGGGTGAGAATCCTGAGATGGTGAGAATCCTTGAGGTGGTGTGAGATGAGAATCCTTGAGATGGTGATAATCTTTGCGATGGTGAGAATCCTTGAGAAGATGAGAATCCTTGAGGTGGTGATAATCCTTGAGGTGGTGAGAAGCCTTGAGATGGTAAGAATCCTTGAGATGGTGAGAATCCGTGAGATGGTGAGAATCCGTGAGATGGTGAGAATCCGTGAGATGGTGAGAATCCGTGAGATGGTGAGAATCCTTGAAGTGGTGAGAATCCTTGAGATGGTGAGAATCCTTGAGGTGGTGAGAATCCTTGAGATGGTGAGAATCCTTTGTGGTGATAATCGTTTGTGGTGATAATTTTTGCGATGGTGAGAGATTGTCTCGGGTTAAACCAGATTGATATTGGTAACCTTGTTGTCGATGGGAAATACCCTAGCTTAATACACCTGTGAGACTTGAGCAAGTGAAAAAGGCATATTTTCGCTCTCATTTTCGGCTATACCTTGTATATCAGAGGTTAAAAGAATTGTTAAGAGTGAAGTGAAAAACAAATGCCGAGGGATTATACACCTAAGGAACGCCACCATCCTCTTGTGTTGTGAGGTTACGAGCGCCTGTATAAGAATACGTCAATCTCTCTCTCTCTCTCTCTCTCTCTCTCTCTCTCTCTCTCTCTCTCTCTCTCTCTCTCTCTCTCTCTCTCTCGTGTGTTTGGAAGTAGTATTATACGTTAAAGTTGTAGATAATGGGAGAGGTTTGTTTTGAGACCACCAACTTCCTCTCCCTTCCCTCCCTCCCTCCCTCATTGTTGGAGTTGGTAACCAGACGCCATTGATAGCGTTGGTTAATGTGGTTATCCCTTGGTGTTATTCTCTTCTAGAGGATATTGAAGCTTCAAGTTTGTGGTAAAGGAAGAGGGAAAGAAAAAGGAGGGGAGGGGAGAGTAAGTGAGAGAAAGGGAATAGGGAAGGGGAGGAAGGGATGGGAGGAGTGAGAGGGAAGGGATTAAGAGGAGGAAGGGGACCAAGGGGAGGAATGAATGGGGTGGGGATGGTGGGAGGGAGAGAGAGGAGATGGTAGGGGATGGGGATGGAAGGAAGGGGGGGTGAGGGAGAAGGAAGAAAGGTGGATGGAGAGGAGAGAATGGGGTAAATTATTGAGGGGGAGAGGAAAAGAAAAGGAAGGGGAGGGGATACAGATGATGAGAGAGAAGGGGGAGGGAGGGAGGGATGAGAGAAAGGGGTAAGTTTTTAAGGGGAAGGGGATAGGAATGGGGAGAGAAAGGGGGAAAAGGGACAGGATTGTGTATGCTGTTGAAGGAAGTGATTATCGGTGTATAAATTCTCGTATGTTTCGTAGTTTATCGTGTTTGAGAATTTATTAAAGCTGATTTTTGGTGTAAATTTTGAAACTTTTATTTTATGGCAATTTTGATGGTGATCTTATGTGATATATTAAACTGTTTTATGTATGAAGGTTGGAGGCTTTGTGTGAGAGAGATTGAATGAATGAATGAATGAATGAATGAATGAATGAGAGAGTGGATGAATGAATGAGTGAGTGAGTGAGTGAGAGTGAATGAATGAATTAATGAATGAATGAGAGTTAATAAATGAATGAGTGAAAGAAAGTGAATGAATGAATGAGAGTTAATAAATGAATGAGTGAAAGAAAGTGAATGAATGAATGAGAGTTAATAAATGAATGGGTGAAAGAAAGTGATTGAATGAATGAATGAATAAGAGCGAGCGAGCGAATTTAAGAGTGAGAGTGACCGAGAGTGAATCATTTACAAAATCAATTGAATGTCAACACTGAAACCACACACGAAAAAAAAAAACCCAGAGGGAAATAAATTCTTGTCTCCTAACCTCACCTGCATAATTCCCCCTCAGTATACTGACCCATACTCATAAACTAAACCTTCAAATATACTAATTACAAGTTCCTTAATGAATAAAACACCTGTGTACATATATCCAGAGACCATAATACTTATCATTATCATCTACAAGCCATCTCCCCTCCCCCCCACCCCCCACCCCTCACAACCACCCCCCCCCACCCCCCCCCTCACACCCCCCCACCCTCACAACCACCCCCACCCCTCCTACCACCCCCCACCCCCTCCTCTGTCTTGTCTTGTTCAAAATATATCAGACAAATACAAGGGATTATGCCTCATATGGCTAAGGTAATTTAGACATTGTGAGAGGTTTATAGTTTAATATTATGTCTTACGATGGTGGTGAGGAATAAAGATAGGAATTATATTTTGACCGTGAGGAGGAGAGTGGCTATGTTAGGTGGCCAGCAGACTTGTTTATGGTGTTCTAAAGATGATGATGATGATGGTGGCTGCAGAGGCGGACCAGTGAGTTGTGTGTGTGTGTGTGTGTGTGTGTGTGTGTGTGTGTGTGTGTGTGTGTGTGTGTGTGTGTGTGTGTTTTGCTGTTGCTTCGTTCTCCTAGCTTTTACTTTGCCTAACTACCCTGTCTACCCTAACTACCCTGTCTACCCTACCTGCCCTGTCTACCGTAACTACCCTGTCTACCGTAACTACCCTGTCTACCCTACCTACCTACCCGCAGGGTGACTACTTACCTATCTACCTACTTACTCGATCGCACGTTGGCTTTACATAACCTTTGCAGTGACACGACCCTTATTCCCTCTCCCTCACACCCACTCACACTCCTTCCCTCCCACACCCTCCCTACATCACCCCCCACATCCTCCTTACCCTCTCCACACCTTCTCCTCCTACACCCTCCCTTCCGTCACTCTCACACTATCTTCCTTCCCCTTCCTACCACCCTTCTTCCCTATTTCCTTCGCAGTATACCTTACATTCCTCCATCCTTTTCATCATCCTTCTTACATCTCTTCCCCTCTCTCCCCCTCTCCCCCCCTGCCCTCCTCCTTTGTCCCCTCCTCTCCCTCCTCCCTCTCTCCCTCCCTCCCTTTGTCCCCTCTCCCTCCCTCCCTCCCCCTGTCCCCTCTCCCTCCCCTCCCCTCTCTCCCCTCTCCCTCTCTCCTTTCCCCTCCCTCCTAGACGTCACCTGGGCTCTACCTTCATTGAACTTGGTCACGTCAGTATGTCGGTCAGACTTGGGGGTGTTATGACTCATATAATCTTGTATGACCCTGTCGGAGCATGACATGTCAGTCTAATGTCATAAACCACGACGTCAAGGGGTTTATACATGCACAAATTCACAGTTTAAACCACGACATTTCTCTACTATTTTGAGGGTGAAATAGTCCTAATATTTGTGTTTTTCATCATGTGTCTTGTATTTTCTTCTCTAAGGTAATTAGTTGTCCTGAAAATTTAGCAACAGGTGGTAAGATTTTGGCGTGTTTTTTGTTTGTTTATTTTTTATTGAACTTTTTTTCTTCTTCTTTTTCATCATCATCTTCTTCTTCTTCCTTCTTTCTTCTTCACTAGCTATCTTTTAAGTAGTCAAGGACCGTAATTTTTTGGGTACTATTTTCGTGTGACTGTGTTGTTTCGCCTCTTGAGTACGATGCCTTACTTGAGTACAGTGTGAATCCATTGGTGAAGGTATTTTAATCTCTTGAGTCCGATGCCACCCCTGAGTATAGTGTATGATTATGATGACTTAATCCTTGAGTACAATGTCTTAAACCCTTTGAATATGATGACTTAATCTCTCGTCTACAATGTGATCATCCGTTAGAATATGATGACTTTAACCCCCTTTGAGGATACGATAACCTGACACCATGAGTACGATGATATTGTACTCAGGGGATGAATCCATTGTACTTAACCTGTTCTTCACACGGAGATAAGTAGCCACCGCACCTTAGTATGGGACACGACTGCCTCACCTGACTCACTCACCGGACTGACTCACCGGACTGACTCACCGGACTCACTCACCTGTCCTTAAGCTCCCCAAGTCCCACCTTATGAATTAGTTACTTAGGTAAGCGAGGAAGGTGCTTAATCATCTAATTATCTTGGCGTATAATGAGCTGACCTCCCAGAGCGTCTAATTAACAGGTGTTAAGGGCGGTATAATGAGGCAGGTAGTCCAGACACGAGAGGATTGCATTGTTGCATGATGAGGTGTGTGTGTGTGTGTGTGTGTGTGTGTGTGTGTGTGTGTGTGAAATGAGAGAACGCCTCAACCTGGCCTAGTAATACACAGGTAGCCGCAGGTGTCAGCACAGGTGTAGTTCGTGGTAAATATCACCTGAGACATGTCCTCATTAAGATCAGTAATCACTCGACTCGTACACGAATCTGCCACGTATAAATTCTCTTGACACATTCACCAGAGTGATACGAGGAACACATTCTATATTTCTTGGAGTCTAGAGGTGGCTGGGTCTGGGTGTATCTTTGTAATGAGTCTATCTGTCTATTCCCGTCTATCCATACGTTTGTCTATGTAAAGATCTGGCTGTCTATCAATCCTGGTGTTTATCTATCCAGTTGACAGTCCACCCAGCGTGATGATAGCAACATGGCGGGGAAGTTTTTGTGTGTGTGTGTTAGGAGCTGCCAGGACCTGTCTATGAGAGGTGACGCTACAGGAAATTAAAAGTTCACATACCCAAACTCTCCAGGCGACTGACCACATATTTTGTCCTGTCTTAAATATATATATACACTACGGAATTCAAGAAGCACGATAAGAGGGTGGAAAAGAAAGGCTTGGTGAATTTGGTCACAGGACACGAGGTAATCGAGGTGTAGTGAACATAGATAGATCGGTCCCTTTACGGTCTTCTACAACCTGTAAACAAAGACCTGTCACATTGCAGTGACGTTAATAAAAGCCATTAATAGATCCATGTAGAATATTATGTTGTAGTCAAGTATTTGGCCAATAAAAGTTATTACTCTTAAAAACCCAACATAATTTGTATATGTTTTATTCTCCGTAGTTATGAGGGTCTTGGGGTGTGCGTGCGTGCGTGTGTTGGGGGGGTAGGAGATTACTGGGTTTTTATTTTCACCTTGTACAATTAGTGACTAC